CTTCCTCTAATGTTTTGACATGTTGCAGCTCTTCTATTTGTGAACCAAAAATATTTTTGGGTTTTGATTTTTTTTATTTTTTTATTTTTATATATATATATAACAACAATTTTCGGGGATCCAAAACTGAGTTATGACAACCCAAGTTATTTGACTAGAAGCATCAAATTTAGAAAACCTCAGCCTATTTTTCAACCAATTAAATATTTAATGATGAAATTAAAAAAAAAAAAATCAATCATTCCAAAGAATAAAAAGAAAGAGCAATTATAAGTAAAAAAAGCTTGAGCCCACCGGGGGTCAACCCGCCAAACCCACGAGTCAGGTGATGAGATCGAATAACCTAATAGAAAAGAAAATGAAGAAAATCATGAGATCTAGTTTTTGTTTTTTTAAAAAAAAAACATTATTGGCTTATAAAACTTATGACCCGAATCATTTGACCAGAAACACCAAATATAAAAAAAAAATTACAAAATTCAATTCTTAATAAATTAAATGTTGAATAATAAATTAAAAAAAATCAACCACACAAACAAAAGGGTCCAAAAAAGAGGAGTAATTAAAAGAACAAAAATGTAATAGCCCACTTGGCTTAATCCACGAAACTCATAAGTCAAATCATGAAATTAAAATAATTTAATAAAAAAAAACCTCAATACTTATTTTGTAAAACAATTAATATTGAGTTATAAGATTAAAAAAAAAGTAAAAAGATAATAATAACCCGTGTTAGTTTATAAAACTTATAATTCAGGTTATTTGGTAAAAAATATTAAACATAAAAAAATATAAAATTTAATTTTTAATAAATCTATTATCAAATTACAAAAAAAAAAAATCATACAAAACATCACTCTTGTTTAAAATAGCTCGCTTTTAACTCTCTTTGCAGCTTGGTATGGTGTTTTTTAAATTATAGTTTAAAAAACTGAGTTGAGGTCCTCCGCACGAAGGAAGGACTGCAGTTATTTTGTTCAATTTTTGGATTTTATTAGTGTAAATATCCGATGCATATGTTCATCTGCTACCGATTGGGTTTCTAGGTTTTCTTTTTCGAGTTTTCTACTCTCTCTCTCTCTCTCTGTTTGGACATCAACCTGAAAGCCAATGTCATCAAGCTTCAGTCAAACAATCTCCCTCCCTCCCTCCCTTATAGATTATAAACCAAGGAAAGAACTTCTCCAACCTAGTTGAACAAGTTTCGTGGAGTAATTCATTTTGGAGCGATAATAAAAATCCTAAATGCCAGTCAGTCTTTTAGCTTATGGACACCACCAACAAACAGTCTCTTCCATCTTAAGTTGTCCTGTCTATGTTTAGGAGCACGTGTCAATTTCCCATAGGATTTGAGAGTGTCTATTGCATTCTTTTGAATGAGTTTGTTGCTATTACAATGCATATTGTAACCTGATATATCAATGACTTCTATGTATGAGACAGGTTTACATGAGGTTTGAGCATTTTGTGTGATTTATTTATAGTTTGAGATCATAGGATGTTGTGCAGTTTGGTTGTTGGTTCAAGTAGCATGTTGCCTGGGAGATTACTTAAGATTTATTTACGAGTGATTAGTTGTGCTGTTTTTTGCAGTCCATTATATTAGTTAAGTCTAAACTGGTCATGGTAATTTTTTTGAATAAATTTCTGTCAAGCCTCAATTTCATTCTGTTTATGAATTTGGCTTGTTATTTCATTTGTAGAATTTGTTTTTGCTATGAGTAGTTTCCATGCAGTCTTAATAAATTTCCTGAATGCTTAATTTTCATTTCTTGATGGCTATGCTTTTGCTTTGTGCCTAAAGGATGGCGACTGGAAGTCTGGTTCGTTTTGGAATTATCATGGCCATGCCTTCTTTGCAACCTCAGCATTGTATCAGGGATTGGCTGATCTTGCCTCGCGTCTTTGTGATCATTGTTTTATTTATTTATTCATAAAAAAATAATAGAAATGCATGAATGTATGTTTCTTTTCGTTTGTTTTTGTCCTGACTTTTTTATTGTTTGATTCAATATGTTCCGTTCAATCTTTTGCAACATTCGGGGAATGCATTGTTTTCTCTCTCTGAGAGTTAATCTTGCGCCAGAACTGATTTTCCATTTGCTAGACCATATAAATTTATGGTTAACATGAGTTTCAGCTTTGATTTCCGTGTGTGGGTTTGCAGTATCTTCAATGGAAGGAATGGAGCGTTGGAAAACTGAAATGCAAGAATGGTTGCAACGAGGGATTGAGTGTGCGCATCAGATACCTATGCTGCTGCTGCCATGTTGCTTTTCACCACCATGTTGCTCTTAACAGGTAATTTTCTACTGCTCTTTCATGTATAATTTATCATCTCAGCTGGCTAGCATGTTACAAAAAACACTTGATTGGATTTTTTCATGTACAGTTGGCCATGTTCAATTAGGCATTCTTATTTATCCTTGATGTAAGAATTCCTGCATGAAGAATATGGGAGAAATAGTCTACAGTAGGGTATTCAAAATAACTGATTAACTAAGAAAACCGATAAAACTAAAGAAAAATTAACTAAAAAAACCGAACAAAAAAAAACTGATTAAATTAATTTTTAAAATCATAAATTTTAATAAGTCTAGTTCGGTTTTGATTTTGTACAGAAACCGAACCAAACCAAACTAGACCCAATAAACAATTAGAAACAAAATTATACTATAAACAGTTAACTTAACCTAACCGGCTAACCTAGCATAACAATACATGACCTGCCTCTCTGTGCATCTCTCAAAAGCCACCTTCTTAGTCCTTTCCAGAGAAATTCCCCTCTCAATTAATCCCCAGTATTCCTTTTTAGATACTGAAATATCTAGTTTGGAACTGCTGTCAAGATATGAGAGTGAAGACTCAAGTGATGAAGTTTGCAGCATTGTTAGCGTACGTAAAAAAAGATCAAATTCTCTTTTTGCTGGAGATATTTTGAATCAGAGAGCTGGTTGGCCCCTACTTTGAAGAATGAATTCAGTTATTCCACGGAACTACATTCGACAACAATATGTAGTACAGTGGGCAAAGGCTTTACCAGATCGCTCCTCTCTACAAAATCCTCAAATTTTAAATTTTGAAGAAAGCTGTGAATGGAAGCCAATTTTTTTTTAAAAAAAAAACTCTTATGTGATGGGATTAGGTTTTCTAGTTTTTTTCCAAAAAAACCGGATTTAACAAAACCTGACTGGTTTGGTTTGAACCGGTTTTCGGTCCGGTTCGGTTAGTATTTTACAAAATTACTATAATTCAGTTCAGCTGGTGTTTTAAGTCTAAATTGAACCAAACTAAACCGTGAACACTTCTAGTCTCCAGAAGAATATGAGATACATGGCTGATTGGTTTAGTACAAGTGAGAGATTACTAGTTTATATATCCTGTGGCCAATCAGTTAGTTACATATGACACTATTTTATTCACGTAGAATATATTTAATTTTATTAAATAAATGCATTATTTATCTTTAATATTCATTTATATTTAATTTATAAATATAATGTTTGATAGGTGAATCTAGGGTAAAGATAAAGTCAATCGAACAAAAATATTTTGCAAATAAAATTATAAAGATCTTATAATTGTAGGATTCTTATTTTATCGAAGTATTGTTCATAAATGTTCCTGGTCAATGCTCTTTTAATACTGAATATTTATTATAATCATAAAAACTTATACATATTATGTATTTTAATTTATGAAATAAAACAGTTGTTCTCATGTGCTAAAATATAAGGAATACATAGAACTAATATGTAGTTGTTTGTCATAAAACATGTACACTAAACTGACTTGCATGAAAATTTTATATGGAAATATCACATGTGTCTATGAAAAGGCTCACATGATGGTCATATGAGTGATTCTTGTTTTATATAGAGAGTGTTATATTTTGATCCTATTACATGTTTTTTTAGTAAAGGTAATAAATGGACAAACATTGAATATAATATAAACTATATGATAGCATTTAAATAATCAAGATATGATTCATTATTATGGATAAATTAGATAAAATATTTCACATGCTCTTAAATAGTATTGATTTTTAAATACTTGCGCATGGTAGAATGAGATTTAAAAAGAGTTTCAAATCAAATCTTATTTAAATGATCAATGACTATAATATTACTAATAAATATTATTGATAAACACACTTCATATTAAAATATTTAAATCAAAATATTATTGATAAAAAGATAATAATTACACTAAAAAATCAGTCATTGAAAAATTAAGTCAAACTATTTATAACATTTTTAATATTTGAAGGAGATGACATGTTGTTAAAAGATCCACTTGATTTTCAAATATAAATTAATTAATTAATAATAAATTAAATTATTTGATTTATTTAGAATTATAATTTATAATTAAACCAATATATTAAAAACTTAATAGCTTAAACATATTAAAAATCATTAATAAAAAATTAAACTAGAATAATTAATTAAATATAACTTAGTTAAAAATAATTATAAACAATAAGCACTAGAATGTATTTAATTGAAGTATTATAATTTTAGTTTTTAAATAATAAATATGAACTTGATTAATTAAATTTTTAAAATTATTTTTAAATAATATATTGATATTATTTAAAAAATAAATAGATATTTATAATTTATAAAAATGTTAAAACTCATTGCTTATATAAAATTTTGCCTTTTATTTTAGATAAATTATCTATTAGACACAAAAATAATAAAAAATTATCACTTTAAATATACAATTCCTCTCTTAAATAAAAATTTTGTAAAAAAAGTTAAATGATAATTCATGATTATTATAGTTAAAAACCAAATAATCTATAGCTTGCAACATTTCAACTTTTAAAAAATTATTAAAAACAAGAAGTTTATATTACCAAGTAAAAAATACTTAAACAACTCTAGATTTTCATAATAAAATGCTAGAAACTCCAAAATATAAAATTAAACTTATTATTTCCAATTTAGATAACTAACATAAACATCCAATACATGGTTTTAAACCTAATGTTAAAAAGCATTATATGTGGACAAAAGTCCAGCCTTGTATTTCACCATTTCTATAATAAGGAAGAAGTGCCGCGTATGACTTTCTTGACGTATCTTTCCGCATCAACTACAGTGATGCGTGCACCAGATGTATGCTTTGGAAGTTGATTGGAGTGCAAAATAGCCGCATAACTCCGCACAAAAGAAAGGCCGTCTACATCAACAGTAAAACATAACATCCTTGACATTTTCTTTGATAACCGGAAGAGGACGGAACTCGGCAGTCCCACCAGATGAACCAGCATCTGATGTTTCACCCTCAATGTAATATCGCGCCCTAAAAGCTGCCAAATGAGCATAATATGCAGGAGGCACTGCAAATTTTCAAACATGTCAGGTATTAAAATTCTGATGGAAAATAACGATGTTACCATTAAAAAAAAAAAAAGAGTGGAGAAAATGGTCTGACCTATGGAAACAGACCGAGTGCACCTTGCATACCTGAGAGAAAATCAATATCTAATAAAAAAAAATAATAATAATTCAAGAGTCCAGATTTTACTACGCATAACAAACTATATCATCAGGAAGAGGTGCCAAAACATTACGTGTAGCACAAATTGTTGGTGAGGGTTTGTAAACCATCAGAACTGAAGTTGTTTTCATCAAACAACACGTGATAATGTGTAGGTCTGCTGGTTCCCTGCATATATAGAGACAGAATAACAAGTGTCTTAATGTTTTTTTAATCAACTTGGATGTCATATTATAACAAGAGCTGCAGGATCACTAATTCATCATTTATTTCAACATGTTGGCTGTTGGCATAATCTCTTACCTGAATTCCAGCATGACTGTTAAGGTAGAAGTCAAACTCTGTAGGGTGGCAAATTGTAGTATCAACAACTGTACCTGAAACAATTCAGCATTACAAAAAAAAAAAAACGTTCAGGAAAAAAAATAAGATCCCAACAAAAAGAAAACAAAAAAACTGAGAGGAAGCGAGGTTTAAAACCTGGTAAGATATTGCCACTCTTGTCAGTCTGATCACGCCTGCTATGGTCAGCAGGGAAAAAGCGTGTATGATGCCTTTTCTGAACTACTACAAAGGTAACCCGAGGACAATACCCTTCTTCTAGGGAGCCACATGCCTAGAAAGATTGTAAAATGTGCATATCAAAACACAAGCTTTACCATTAACTGAATTCAGGGAAATAAGAAATTGACAAGTTCATAGAAATGGGAGAATCCAATCGATAATCATGCAAGTAGCAAGATTAGCTGGCATAGCTTACTGGCATTGTACCACAACCAGGAACAAACACCCCAATCAACAGAAATATGTGAGGTTATGGAAAGTGTGAGCTGCCCAACATGGTTAGCCCTCTCTATGGACACACCACAGAAAGCACAAACCATTAAATCTAACTAAAACCATCAAGCATTTTAAAACACGTATGGCCAACAGCAGTATCAATAGACCACAGCTATGTTATCCTTAACCAACAACACAATACCTGCCGTATTGCCTGCATCTCATGCAGCAGAACTTGGCTGAATTGACCTTCACTAACACCATCTCTGTCAAATGAGAAATGGTCTAAGTTGACACAAAAATGCTACAACTCTTCAGTCATTGAATGATATGGTTACCTGTAGAATATAATTCTAAAAGGTTTTTGGCCGGTGGATCTTTTGAAAGCAATTAACAGTTCCCTGCAAATAGAATCAAAATGATGGCAGTTATGAATCTTTCTAAAATATGGCAATGGGGAAGCAGGCATGTCAATTCCTTACCTGATCATTCCACCATGCACTAAACCCTTCTTTGGATCCTGGTATTTTTTGTAAAGATCCTCGATAATTTCTTCACGGTGAGCCTGTGCAGAGACAAGTCCTCTATACTTGGTTACCTCTGGCCAATCCATAGAACCAACTACCTGTGCGCCCAAAAAAACAAAATAATAATAATAATAAATAAAAATTAAAAAAAAAATATTAAATACATCTAAGAAAATTTAGACATCATAATTAAATGATAAAGTCCAACTCAACATACTGCTGCAATCGATGGGCCTGCATCTTCTCCCGCTTGTGGATGGGTTACATCAGCACCAAAAACAATAGTAGGAACATCAGTAAGAAGAGGAATTCTTCTATGAAAAGCATCATTCAATACAGTGTTTCGTCCCCCAGCCTAGAAAGATCCAATTCTCAATTTAATACTTCAAATGACTAGCAGGGTGAAGAATAAGAAATTAACAGGGAAAATCAACAAACCTTCACATTAATTTTGAGAGCAACATTTTCCAGGTATTGTTTGCTGAGCTTCTTTGCCTGCTGGGGCTGACAGCATTGTGAAACTATTCCTAACTCAGTTTCACAAACACGTTTGATTTTCTCTACAAGAAAGAAAGATCTTAGTAACAAGACAAACAACTGTTGTATGAATTTTAAAGCATATCTGTTACTAACCATAGGATCCGGTGACATCAGGTAGAATAATGATCAGCAGCTGAAGCTGTTTCCCCTTCTGATTTGCAAGTTCTGCAGTGCATTGCTTATGAACATCATGAAGTGCCTTCTCAATTTGCCTAGAATCAGCTGAGCGTATTGGAATAATGGGTTCTGGGTTGAATTCCTAGTATTATATTCAAATCAACTCAAAGAGTCAATCTACTAGAAAAGCAACGAAACCGATGGGTATAGAAATGGCAGAAAAAAAGAATGAGAGGTGAAGTCAAACCATTCCTTTGTTATTGCACATATCCATTAACTGCCAACAAAATTCAGATGGCAACTCTCTGTGCACTCTTGTAGAGAAGTTCAAACAGGTCCAGTAATCAATTCTGCCTCCATTCACCATTTTCTGCAAAACATCATTTCAGAAAGTCATCTAGCCATGAAGATCACTACATTTTTCAAAATACATGCGTGCACACTCACGGTACATCAGAAATATACTTTCATGGAGACTCCAAAAGTCCTTAAATACTTTTAAGTTATGGTATACAGACATTATGATGCAAGTTGGTTTTTGATTTGGAAGCACATTCACCTTTTTCTATCCTAGAACTACAACTATTTTTTAAGCAGAACAATCATCTTAACCTTCTATGGTGAATGTGGAATGAACAGTGAAACATAAACGCTCAAACTCAAGCTCTCTCTTAAACAAGCCTTTATCACTAATGATCTTGTTAATCATCAATCTACCTTGTCTATCATGTTCCATTGTCCAAAGCGCGGATCCACTCTAGCTTCTCGCCCTGTATCATGATATTTAAGCTGCGAGATCACAGGAAAAAGTGATATTAATGCTGTTAATAATCGATTCACTGGATACACCATGAATCCAAATCAGAATGAATGATTACCATGGGAGGGGGTAATACTCGAGCATCAACCAATGTGAGTTCTTCTTTCACTTGAATTCCAAATTCATTCCTCACAAGAGCATTCCTACTGTAATCATTTTGCCTAACCATCTACATCAAAGGTATGGAGAGTGTGACTACTTATAAAGCCAAAAATGAGGAAAAAGAAAACATGCATAAACCACAAAAATAAAGATTCGCAATGGAAATAAAGATGTCAAGGATAGATTATTTGCCTTCTTAATATTATTTTCCCTAGCAGAAGGCCGCTGACAGGTTGCTCTTAAAAGGGCTGTGACTTGTCTTTCATTTAGTTTCTTTGTATATCGTTGTCCTCCAGCAATCTGACAAAGCTGCAATGCAAAGAATACCCAAAATAAGCAAACCTTGTCAATAGCCACATGCAGAGGTACAATAATCAAAGGGACCTTATCTAAATAACAAACCTCCATGGGCAAATAAATAGGTTTTGCATCAGTTCCAGCTTGAAGGGGAGGCAAAGATGTATATTTCAGCCCAATATTGTATCTCTCCCAAAAATACTGATAGACTGACACCTTTGTTTTCTTATCATCCAGAGTAAACCTACAGAAACAAAGCTCGCAGAAAGTTCAGAATGATAGGAGAAAGGATCACAAATATAGTATTATCACATTATTCACATCTAATACCACAAATATGTACAACGTTCCTTTTCCTGAGGCTTAGGATTGAGTTCTGCAATATTTGGTTTTTTACAATTGAGCTAGCTTCAGGATAATTTATGGAAGCTGTGGCCCCAAGAACAAGAACTAAAAAGATACATTAGACAGACACAATAAATCATCCACCAATACAAGAATGACCAAGTACTTCCAAATACTTGCTTGACGCTTCAGATTTCGAGAGAAGTTAAAAAAGGAAAAAACTATTCTGCAGACAAAGTTTTACACATTGTAAATAGAGTTTAATAACACATAGTCAAACATAACCATACTTGACTTCCTCATTTTTTAAACAATTCTTAGGAACCTCGAAGAATACAAAAAAACGACATATCAAAAGTCTACACCATAGTATCTATGAGCTTCAGAATCTTAAGTATACCCACATCCATGTAGTGTGAAGCCAAGAAACTTACATTGTTTTGTTTACTGGTAGATTTGATATGCCAGCAATCTTGTAGCTTTTAGTGTAGTCACTGTAAGTAATTTGTACTTTGATTCCTCTCAAGGCCTTTTTCACCTGAAAATTGCACTCAAAGAAATATACAGGACACTAAAATTTCAATTTGGCAAAAGAGAAAGCATATGGGTATATTCACATGAATGATCTTGGGCTGTGCATAATAGCAAGCGAGAAATTTACCTTAACACGCTCCTGATCAGAAAGAGGCCTTGATAAGTCTCTAAAATTAAAGTACTTCGCTACAAACTCAGTTACCAGAATTGGCTCATAAAAGGATCTGGCCGACACATCTACAATATGAAAATAAGATGTTAAAGGGGAGAAATTCTCAGCAGATTTACATTTAAAACAGCAAGTATCAATGCATCAATTTTGGATAATCAAAATGAATATAAGAAGAGAAGCTGTACCAATATTGAAAGATAGTCCCATTTGGGTTGGCCGAAGACTTTGATAATACCCCCTCCAATATTCTATTCCATCACCGAGATCGCCTTTTGGACCCAAATCAGGTGAGAAAAATGATCGCCCAACAGTAATGTACCTAGTCAAACACACGCAAAGGTAAGGAGAAAAGAAAAGGTAGTTTACATTTCTAAGCAATTAAGTTGAATTACTTTTCTGATGGTGATGCTCTGAGAACAATGTCAAGGATTTGTATGGTTTCCTGTGGAGCATCCGCTTGTCTCCCACTAAGGAACTCCTTCAAATGATACATATCAACTTTGGATGCATATTTGATGGCCACCTTAAATTGACGTTCCTTTCTGCGCATCAACCAATGGCACTAGCAAGTTAGAACAAATTCAGTAATCATAATTTTTTTCAAACAGCCAATACATACAAAAATCACATAGGCATAACAGAACAGGAATTACTTGACAGAACTGGATGAACTAGCAGGATCACCCTTCTCAGCCAACTTCACAACAAATTCCTTTGCTTCAAAAGGCAATGCCCCAGCAGTGTATAGACTTTTCCTGCCATCATAAGCTGGCATCCGGTTGCCCAGATGAGACTCACGGGAACAACGAACAAGTTGAGATATTACCTCTCTATTGACTTTCTTTGATGTAACTTCAGGAGTTATTGCCACCTAATCCAAAAACCCGGCTATTCATCAAAATCATAACATTTTTAACCATAAAAGACTGAACATTGAGACTTATAACTAACAAACAGAAAACCAAGATGTTGGTAAAACGTACGTTCATGTAAATACGTAGTCAAAGAGAGAGCATTACGTACATCGTAGTGAAAGAGATCTCTATCAGAAACCTCAACTACAAAATGATTCGCTCTAATCACACATTTCTTCCCTGTCTTTCCATAGTCTGGTCGTCGCGGAGGCACCATCGCCTTTGAAGAGACAGACACCAGCCCTCCCGTCGTAATGGTCCCTCCCAATGTCAACTTCTTTGCGGTCTCTTGACTCAGCTCCCCGACTGAAGAGGAACTCGAAGCCGCCGACGCTGTATAAGCAGCTTGAGGAGTTGGTCTTGCAGAAGGACCTGCGGTTGCGGAGACGTAGCCGGGTGCCGCCGAGGTAGGAGCACGAACTGGAGTTGGAAACGGAGCAGGAGTGGAGCCGCCTCTTCCACCACGGCCACGGCCTCCACCACCACCACCGCGCTGAAATGAAGGTGATGGAGTTGATGAGTCCTGGTGACGACGAGCTTCGGATCGTCGGCCGCCACCACGGGCCGCCACCACGGCGAGACATTGTTGCTTAGCTTCTTAGAGAGAGATATGGTGAGGGGGGGGAGTAGAGGAGAGTGTCTGTCTTGCACAAAAAGTAACGAGAGTGGAAAACGGAGTTTGCTGGTGCTGGTGCGTGTGATTGAATTGCTATGCCCTCGTTTTATAGGTGTTGTATATTCAGATGTGCCCCTGCTTAGGAAACCTGTAACCACGGTTTATAATTTTTAGAATTGTCTTGTAACAAAATAGACACAGAGAATGCATATCTGAAGTTGTACTTACTGAATTAGTAGCTAGCAAGTGTAGTTATACGGTGAAAAGTCAGGATGTCGTGGGCCTGTTAAGTATTTTGCTATTCCAAAAATTCATTTTAAAATTGCCTTGGATTTATTTTATTTCTTCCAATAAATATTTTTATGTCTGGTCTTGAAATTCTAGCCAAATCTAAGTTAGTTATGGTTAGGTGTTTTCATGCTAGGTTTTCATCCTCTTAGATGATGCTAATTTGTGTTTGTTTGGTAATGTAATTATAATTAATTTTGAAATAATATTTTATATTAAAATACCTGTTGATGATATTTTTTTTTAGTTTTAAAAAATTATTTTTAATATTAGTACATCAAAATAATTTAAAAACACTAAAAATATATTAATTTAAAATTAATAAAAAAATATAAAAATTAATTTTTTAAAAAATATTTTTAAAACAAAAAAATAAATAAATAAACACAAGGACTAACGAGAGCTCTTGGAACATCCTTGAGCATTCATTAAGCTTGTTTATTGTAATTCATTTATTGTTTGTTAGAGAGAGAAATATAAACCAAATATTCGAATGAAAATCAATTGTATTGAATATTGGTAATATATAATTGTTATTTATGTGCCTTTTTTTAATTGTTCCCAGTAAATTTAATTACAATGAAAATTAAAAATTGATTTGAAGTAATAAATGACTCCGCACACAAGCATTTATCCTTTAGTTAATTCTTATAAGTAATAGCTCCATAATCTGAATTTCAAAAAAAGAAAAAGAAAAGAAACAAGCCTGCATTTTTATCCTAAATATGAAATAACCACTCATCCAAATTAAATTCTACTTATGAGTACTAATTTTTCCCTTTTTTCCAAGTTGAGATGCCATCGGTCTTAATCTTCATGAATGCGAAAATATGAAGCTATTTATGCTATGTATCTCTTATTGATATTTAAGTGTTGCTGGTAAAAAAACGAAGCTCACTGTCCACTGAATTCAACTCTTTAGGAGCACTCAACACTGGTTATTGACTGTGATACGTTACGGATCCAATTATTTTTTATGATCTTGAAGAAATTTTAAAATATTAAGATCCAAATATATTAGATGGATTCTGATTAATCATGCTAAATTTATAAAACTTTTACTATAAATATGAATCCATGTAATCTAAATAGAAATAAATTAAGAATAATAGTTTTAATTAACCAAATATTGCATAAACATAATAAAAAACATTAATTAAAATAAATCTAGAAAAAATAATTTGAACAAATCTAAGAACGATGATGGGTGCTATACCGCAATCTCGCAATCTAGATCAATGTTTTTAAAGAGAAAAAATAAATATGAAACTAGGTTATTGACCTAACTAAATTTACTAAGTTAGGTTAATTTAATAATTTAATTAAAAAATAATTATTGAGTGATGTCAATATTTGTAAAGAATAAAAAAGAAAAATTTGAGATTTTGATAATTGATTTGATTTGATGTATTTAGTCGAATTAATTTAATAATATAATTAAAAAAATTAGCAACAAATAATAAATAAAAGGACTAGAGATAACTCATGTTATTTTTAAAATTAGAAAAAAAATATAAAAAAATATAAAAAGCTTGATTTCCATATAAATTAAATATTAAAAGATAAAATTAAAGAAAATATGAGCTTAAAAAAATAAATGATTTTTCACCTCACACTATGTTGCAAGTCAAGTATTTTATTTTTTTATCTTAAAAAATATTAAAATAAATATAGATAATAATATATTGGATGATATATTTTGTAAGATAAATCTTGAGCAATTAATTTAATTTAATTAAGAAAAACTCCTTTAAAAAAAGCTAAATCTAATAAAAAATAAAGTATAAAAATACCTAAGATAACCTAAGTGAAAATTTCTGTATAAAAAAATACAGAGTTTAATATCCAATCAAATCAAATGATGATTAATAAAATTAAAAAATAAATTAAAAAAATAAAAAATAAACTCGGGTGAATTTTATAAATCTAGGTTAGTCCCTCAAATTTACAACCAATTAAATTTTAAATTCAAGATCAATCAAGAAACTTAATTTAATATTGAATGATAAAATAAAAAAATAATTAATTTTAAAAACTTATCAAAGTTAAGAAAATAATAAATAAAATAAATAAAATCTTATATGCAAATATAATGAAGGAGGATGAACTTGTAAATTGTTTTTAAAAAACTATTCCAAATAAAATAAATAGTAATAAAAAAAATAGAGATAAAATTTTATACGTAAATATAATGAAGGATGAACTTATAAAAAAATCAATTCTAAAAACTATTCAAAATAAAATAAATAATAATTAAAAGAATAAGGATTATATTCAAAATAAAAAAATAATAATAAAGGATAAAATAAAAAATCAATTTTATAAATTAATTCAAATAAAAATAATAATAATTAAAAAAATATAAATCAAAATCATAAATATAACTGAAAGGTTGCTGTAAAATATTGCAAGAGCATGCACAGAATTTTTTTTTAAAAAAAAAAGAAATAAAGACAACCGCAGGGAATAAAGCCACATGCATCCCTGATAAAGCAACCTTTGTTGTTGTGAATTGAAGAATACTAAGAAAACTAGTTTTTATTTGTTGTGAGTCATCACACGCACCACTTAAAAATAACAAGGTACCTTAAAATATACCAGCAACTTTTTATTTTATTAATTAAATTATCAAATTATCCAGACCATATAATAATTGTGAAAAACAAATAATGTGAAATAACTAATATGCTCCTAAAATCAAAATCAAGCCATTTTTTTACCTTAAAAAAAGAAGTAATTTTAAAAATTATGAAAAGATATAAATACTTTAAATAATTTTAAAATAAAAAATAAACATAACTAAAAAAACTATTTATCATTGAAGGGCAATATTGTGTGATATTTTTAAGAAAAAATCATTAATTTACTATTATAATTCAAGGCTTTACATATGGTTTAGTTTTTGTTAACATGCACTATGTTTTCCTCAAGTGCTATTGTATGAGCAGTAAAGAATTTTATTATTATTATTTTCAAGTTTTTTTCTTTTTTGTAATGGATAAATTGAGTTTGAAAATATAAAAAAATGAAGGATAGAAATATAGAAAAACAAAATAAAAAATATGCTAATCTCGTAATTTCAACCATTTCTATTCTGGTACAAGAAGTCAGTTTGTTTATTAAGAAAGCGGAGAGAGAAGTTGATCTAGAAACAGAGAGAATCGTCAATCAGGCTACTTTCCGGCGAACGTCGGAGAGAAGGAAAAGAAGAAGAAGAGAGAGTTGAAGAAGACAGACATAACATCGTCAGCATGGACAGAAAGGTGGCGCCACTAAAGATACAGGCGGCTGGTCCCGAGGGAAGAGAAGTCATCATTGATTGTTCCAAGGTTTGTTTAGGACTATAATTTCTGTGGACCCTGAAAATTGAGGGGACCCCACGTTTAGAAAGAGGGGAGACCTGTGACAAACCAAGGAAAGAGCGGGAACTCGGGAATAAAAAATAGGACACCTTCACTTTTATCCTTTTAAGATTTTTTGAATTTTTTGTAACTTTCACGATATGCTTTGAAAGAAAAACAATTTCCTTTTAAAGGGACATTTTATTTATTTATTTCAAGCATTAACCAAATACCATTTTAAATAAAAAGCAGCTATTCATTCTCTTCCCCTGACATTTACTAACCAATTCAGGAAGGAAAAAAAATACCCATCTCTATTATCCATTGGCTGTTAAAAAAAATCAAATTTGCATTGGATTCCCATTTTTCCAAAATAAAAATAAAAATAAAAAAATCCCAACGAATTAGCTTTTTTTCTTCTTATTATTATAATTTGCTTTTACATGTCTATTTCTTCTAAACAGACGTTTTTTAGACTTTATTGAAATACACTTGTATTTTTTGGTTAGTCCAAAGATTGTGTTTCCACTTTTCAATCGGAGAACTCACGTTTGTAAGTATCAATCTAATGTAATTATTGTGATTATGATTTGAAAAAATAAATTATAATTTTATTTTTTTAAGAAAAAATTCAGAAGAAGCTTTGGATGATTTGGACGTGTTTTGTTGGGTTGAATTGGATGACATATTTTGTTGCAAAGAAGGAAGGGAAAAAAACAAGATTTCAGTTCAACAACATCTCCCTGGTTACTTTAAGAGGAGGAGGAGTTAAAGAATCCTCTCTCATTTCTTGCTACTATACGTACAGATTGAAAAACAAAATGAGTTGAATTATCTAACTATCCATGCATGGGAAAAAGGATAATTCCAAGTAAAGGATCAATCCTCCATTATCAACTGCTTCGATTTGCTGGGCCAGCCTGGGAGAGCATTAAATTTTGAATGGCTTGTCAACCGATGGAGATGGTTAACAACTGTGTGTTAAAAATCTTTTATTATTATTATTATTATTATTATTATTCTATCTTGTTAAAAACCGCGTCAAGCAAGTAGGAAGATGCTAAAGAGATGGAAGAACATGAAGGGAAGGGACCGAGTTAAAGCATCGTCACATCCCAGGACTGAAAGTAAGCGGTCCCTGTCATTTCCTGGTTTCTTAACATTTAAGCCTCCTCTCTTCCTTCCCTGCCTTCGTATTTTTTGCACAGTCAGTTTCCAAGCAGAGAGCTAGACAGAATGTTATTTCTTGGTTACTTAACGATTAAGCCTCAAATCCACCAATGCAAAGAGCTAAACATCTCGATGTTAAGACAAGAACGCAATCTTGGATCACATGCGATTCTTTGTTCAAA